CCCCAAAAGTGAACGGCCTGGATCACTGGTGTTTATGAGAGAAATTTCTCTGCCCACCTTTTCTGCACCATAATTTGGGAACCGCTGTAACAGTGGCTTTAGTGAGATCAGTCATGGCTGTTGGGTTCCCCCCCAAAATATGCAGTGACATATGTGGGCTCATTGAGCATAGGTAGGGCGTACTTTCAGGTTGTGCACCTCCAGGGAGCCCCCCAGGTGAACTACAGGCCGTAAAATATGTGACAGCCTTTCCGAAAGTAGAAGGGAAGATGCTGCAACCCGTTTCTTTTTTCAGCAGATCTTTTGGGTGCCCTCCTGCACCTCTCCAAAGGCCTCCCAGTTTCCACAGCCGGCATGGCCTTTCCTCAGATTTCTTTTTTCTTTTCTCATTAACATTTTATTGGTAGGATTAAAACAATAAAACAAATATAACAATAAAAATATACATAAAGGTCATAAGAACAGTTATACATTCAAACCAACACACTAATTACAAAAAAAGTAAGCTTTAAAGAATGATACATTCTTCAATAAATCTTTTCTTGCAGCTTTGTTTTTCATTCACTGTCCTCATTGTTCCTGGGCAGGAGATGAACCAGCCTAGATGCAAACAGGTAATTGCGTAATTGTGCCAGCACACTGATCGCTGACTCTTCAAAAGCCGGGCCTGTAAACAGGAAGTTTGCCCTGCTGTTGCCGTCTCTCCTCTGTGCCAGAGTTGAAAGGGCAGAGACCTGGGACAGGGCTCTTGAGTTAGATGCCTCTCTCTCTCTCTCTCTGACCGTTTTTTTTTTTTTTAAGGAGCAATTGGAGCTCCATATTGGTATGTACCTGTGATATGCACACTAGTATAACAGCGTTCCGTGCACCTTGGTGTTTAGTCATGCCGGCCACATGACCACGGAATGTCTTCGGACAGCGCTGGCTCTTCGGCTTTGAAACGGAGATGAGCACCGCTACCCTAGAGTCGGATTCGACTGGCTTTCGAGCAGGGGAACCTTTACTTTATAACACATACATGCTCAGTTTGTTGGTCTTCAAGGTGCCACCGGACCCCAACTTTGTTCTGTTGTTTCAGACCAAGACGGCGACCCACCTGAATCTCTGCACGGTTGCTTTGAGTCACACACCCCATCACATTTAGAAAACACTCCAAACTGGGGATTTGATAGCACTGATGCAGAAGGCTCACAGACTGGAAGGGCACAAAAGGTCTATTGAAAGTGCACATTTAAAAAAAAAAAAGAGAGAAAGGCTATGTGCCATAGCTAGTAAGGTTGTCAATCTCCAGGTGGGGGCTGGAGATCTCTTGGAATTACAGGTGATTTCTAGACAATAGGGATCAGTTCCCCTGGAGACAACGGTTGCTCTGGAAGGTGGGCTCTATGGCATTATACCCTGCCAGGCCCCCCCAAAAAAAATTTCTAGGAATATCCCAGCCTGGAGATGGCAACCCTAGGAGGTCAAGAAAGAATCTCTCTCATGTTTTGTGTTGTAATGAAACCACTGCTAGCCTCAGGCTTCTCTCTGACTTCAAAGATGGATTTGCAAAGCATGACCTCACCACCGCATTCCAGTCTCATCCCCATGAGCTGCCAGGGTGACTAACAGCAAGGCAGACTAACAACAACATTACAACGTACGTCCTGGGAAAATATGAGTAATACAAACACACTTCCCCCTTCTGCTGTGCTGTCGTAAGAATGTACTTGGCACTTGTTGACAATGGAGCAATGGCCTCTGAAAGGGAAGGATGGCTGGAGAAAACAGAGGAGAGAGACAAGTCAAGATGGGCGGCCATGTCAGTCTATCTGGAGCAGCAGAAAAGAGCAAAAGTCCAGGAGCACCTTCAAGGCTAGCAACATTTGTTGCTGGGCAGGAGCTTTCCTGAGTCACTGCTCACTTCTTCAGACAGATCAAGATGAGTGGGCATGTTAGTCTGTCTGCAGCAACCGAAAACAGCAACAGTCCAGTAGCATCCAGTAGCACCTTAAAGACTGACACAATCTGTGGCAGGGTAGGAGCTTTTGTGGCTGCAGTGGCTCAAGTGGTTAAGACACTGAACTGCCGACCAGGTGGTTGGTAGTTCAGCAGTTTGAGACCCAAGTGCCGCATGACAGAGTGAGCTCCCGTCTCTGGTCCGAGCTCCTGCCAGCCTAGCAGTTTGAAAGCAAGAAATTGCAAGTAGATAAATAGGTACCACTTCGGTGGGAAGGTAACAGCATTCCGTGTGCCTCGGCGTCTAGTCATGCCGGCCACATGACTACAGAAACGTCTTTGGACAGCACTGGCTCTTCAGCTTGGAAACGGAGATGAGCACCGCAGCCCTAGAGTCGGATTCGACTGGCTTTCGAACAAGGGAAACCTTTACCTTTGCCTAGGAGCTTTTGTGAGTCACTGTTAATCCTGAAGGTGCTACTGGACTCTTGCTCTTTTTCTATGGGAAAAGAGAAAAAGTCAGTCAATGGCGTGGGTACCAATGGGGGCGAGGTGGAGAAGCCCTGGGCAAGTATGTCACATGTGTAGGAAAGCTGACCCGGCCATCCTAACCCAAGCGCCGTTCACACGTGCTAACAAACCCTTCCCAGCCTTTCTCTTGCTGTTGGAGTGCAGCACAAGTGCGGCAAACAGTCCCTAAAGGCACTTATCTAAGTCTTCCTCACATGGCACAGCAGGGAAGGTTGGGCTCCCTGCCCTTCTTGGCAACTGTATGTGTGTCTCAGACACTTCTCCCTTAGGGTTACCAGATGTCCTCTTTTTTTGGTGTCCATCCTCTTTTGGGCTGTTTTTAAGAAACAGATGCAAATGCCCACTTTTGGGGTTGGAAGGTTAGGAATATTCCTAGTGAGTAGCCATGATCACAGCTTAAAGAGGAGGGGTCTTTCGAAGGAGACTGGTTAGAGTGACTGCTTGTTTGAAGTGGTCTGTTGGGAAACATGTCCCCCTTTTTGCTTTTCAAAATATGGGACTCCTATCCCCCATGAGGATAGATCCAGGTGGGTAGCCATGTTGGTCTGAAGCAACAGAACAAAGTTTGAGTCCAGTCGGGCACCTTTAAGACCAACAAAGTTTAATTCTGGCCTGGATAGAAGCTCTCATGCACATGAACACAAAGTTTAATTCTGGGTAGAAGCTTTTGTGTATATGAAGAACTGTGCATATGCAGAAAAGCTTCTACCCAGAATTAATCTCTGTGTTCATGCACATGACAGTTTACCCAGAATTAAACTGTGTTGGTCCTTAAAGTGCCACTAGACCCAAACTTTGTTCCTATCCTCTGTGGTTATCCCATTTGGTACGGATGCCAACCTCCAGGTGGTGGCTGGAGAGCTCCCGCTATTACAACTGATTTTCAAGTGACACAGAGCTTCACCTTAAGAAAACGACAGCTTCGGAAGGCGGACTCGATGGCATTAGACCCCGTTGAAGTCCCTCCCCTCACCAAACTCCGCCCACCCCAGACCCCACCCCCAAAATCTCCTACATCCGGTCAGAACGCTGATTTGAATGCATGCGTTTAAAAACAGCTATTTAGCCTCGCTCCCCGCTCCCCGCTCCCTCCGGCAGCACGTGAAAATCCGCTCCAGCCGCGCCGCGTGTATCAACGCGCTTCCTTTCGACCCGGACTGCATTCTCACGGCCTACCAGCAGAGGAAGCGAAAGCGCGGCGGCCCTGATGTCTCCTTGGCGGTGTCGCCTTCAAATTGAGCCGTGCGCATGCGCCCCTCGCTACGCCTCTCGGGACGGCGTGGTCGGCGAGGAGCGCGCGTGCGCCATGGAGGACAGCCGGTGTGGGTTCTGAGCGGGGGGATGCGGGGGTCTAGCGAGGCCGGGGATGTTCCTGCTG